CTGAAATTCTGATGTACTGAAACAACCCAGAAATCTCTGTTTAACCTCATGGAAGGGGGAAAAAAAAGAAAAAAGAATTTGAATAAGGGCAATGAGGGGATTAGGGGTAAATTATTTACCTACTTGACTTTTTTTGTTTCAAAATAGAGGTTCTTTCCTCTTTGGTGACATTTCTGTCACCAGACAGATGCAAAGCAGAGACCCTGTGTCTCCACCATGGCTGGGTACTTACTTACTTATTAGAAGATCTTTTTATAAGAAAAATCCACTTAGCTGATCTGTAAGAACTGCATTCAGGAATCACAATATTGTAGTAGACAAACTCCTCTACTACTCATTTGTTGACTTTCAGCATTGATTTATGTTAATAATATAACTATTGAGCAGTTCTGGGTATTTTTCTAATGTAGGCACATCTTCCTGTCTTCCTGTCAATAACCTCAGACTAACTGCACTACTTCAATAGGCAGGTCCTGATGTACAAGAAGATAAAGGTTTCTGTCCTGTATTCTCTGTCGGGTTAGACTGCTAAATTAACCTGCAAGTTAGTAAAAATAAAAAAAAAAAAAAAAAAATGCTGAGCACATAGTGGTTTAACATAGTGGTTTAGGCAGTAGATGTCAAAATCTGTTAAATGTCTTTCTCTGTCTGTAAGTGTGTACAGAGGGAAATTTGAAGCCCTGGCTTTAGATGTGAGCAGAAGTGAGTCCGTCTGTAATTCTACCTCCACTTCCCTTACCAAGTTTACTTTCTAATTAATTCTTCACTAGGTCCATCCATAACTAACTCTAACTTAAGTCAAGGAGGAATGATCTGCAGGCATAATTACTTGCATTGCAAATTTTATGAAAACTTCTGGGAAAATTGTTGAAGGATCAGGTCAAGAGACCAACTTCATTACACCCATTATAAAGTCTATTTTCACTGCTTCTAAATTGCTGTGGTACAGTGTCACTCTGTATACCATGGCACAGGTATTTGCACAGAACTAGAAAACATAACTGCTGTTATTAATGCAGAAGCATAGTAGGCCATGCTGAAAATTGTGGTTCCAATTTTAATAAGCTTGAAGGCTTATTTCAGTTCTGAGTCTCTGCTCTTACAGGCTGAACAAGCTCCTGCTCATCTAGGTTTGCCAATATTATAATTTCATTATTAATCAGATACTACAGCCTTTGGCTGCTTACCAAATGATTTGAATGATGCGCTCTCCTTCAGTGTTAATTAGTGCGAGCTCTGAGATCTCAAAGATAAGAGCATAATACTTTGGTACATTTCCTCTAAAGTGCCCTTTATGTGATTTATTAGTTACACAGAGGTTCCAACCAGAAACATAAAATAGTTCTAACTTGTAAAGGATTACGATTTTAGGTTTCTGAATGCTTTTCCTTCATGAGCTGCCTGCATTTAGAATCTGAAAATTTATTTGATCTATCAATTATCTGAGAATGTGTATATATTATTTATTTCAATTAAAATTACTTGAAAGGAATAGAAAATACCCTGTTTGACTCACTTTGAAATATAAATATCTTATTTATCATTTTCTCAATATTAGAGGTATGTCAAGATACGCCTCAGGAGCCATGCTGGATCAGAAAGGGTCTTGCCAGGCCCATTGCCTCTTTCTTTTTATCCCCAGTAGTTTGAGGAAAATGCTTTGTGAAGGAGGTGGTCTACAGTAAGTTTCTGTCTTCACTCTTTTAAAACACATCCAGATTTTACCTCCGGTTATAGCTTGAGCATCTCCACTCTGTCAGTCCACGTCCATTAATCACATCTAGGGGTAAAACTGGTAGAAGCTTTCACAAATACCGAAGTTACTGGCTTTAAACTGACGATGTTTATCAGATCGTGCTTTTAATACTTTCTGTTATTAGATTTAGAAGTATATAGTGCATTTTGGATACAGTTAGATCAATACAAAGCATCTTGATGTTGATATGGTTAGTAGGTGTGAAGTAATATTTATCAAAGTAGTAGTATGCTAACAGTATGACTTAGAACATTTTCTATATTTCAAGAGAAAAAAATCATGTAATTAAAATAGTTGAAACAGGAAAAAAAATCTATGTACTGATGAGATCAAAGTTTTCTCCTATATGGAATAACCCATAGCAAATTTTGCAGGTGCCATGATGCAATTGTACTGTATAAAATAAATAAATAAATCATGAACTGTTAGGAGATAAAAATGTAGATTTGGCAAGCCACTAGAAGTACCCTGATGTGCTAATTTTATTTTTCTCTCCAGCACTGTATTTTTACTGTTTTAGAAAGTAGTTTGTTATGTTACAAAACCTTACAGCTTAGAAGTCATATTCATTTTTATTCAGGATTTGGTAAAACAAATTATAATCCCTTCCTTTGCAGGCAAGACTCAGCCTGAGGTGAAAGAGATTTAAAGACCTCCTGTAACTTTAGTATTTTTTGTTTTCTAATTTAGATGATTACCTCAACATATTAGTTGTTGACCATAAAAAGAAAATGGGCTGCAGTGGGAATGCGGAATGCGGGTAGATGTGTCTTTGCCTCTTTCTTTCTGAATGTAGGTTTAGTGCAGGAAAGGTGATTCAGAGGAAGAAAATGGGGTTCTGCAGATATTGCACTATAGTCCAGGAAGCCATTTGTATGTATCTAATGCACCTTGGTCATTGCAATGGGTGTTGAGATGTCTTAATACAGCTGTGGTGGGTGGTAAATGTTACTTCCATGGATCAAGCCTTTGGTGTTCTGCATCTCAGACAGAAGGCATGTATCTGCAACTCTATCGGATTCTTTTCAATTTGCTAGCTTGTGGGCATCCCTATCCCTGTAGCATTGTGGCAACTTCTTCTAAGTTGGAGCAGGGAGGGCAGCTTTGAATAGATGCTGATGAAGACAGCAGAGGAGTGATCGAGTTCATCTGTAGAGCTGTCCCTCTGCATCTGGCAGCTGATTGCTTGATGAAGCAGGCAGCAAAGTAGCAATTTGTTGAAGACAAGTCTTCTAAGCCTTTTAAGAAATTCAAGAAAACGCGTTTTGAAGAGCCACCAATTAAAGGAAAACAAGCTTGATTACTCAGGGTGTAAGGAAACTTCTAGCTAGAGATTGCTTATTTTGTCTGTCTGTTAAATTCTGAGTTCTCTAAGTGACGTAGTACTACAATAGCATGCGGTTGAGAGTGATTAAATAACTTAGGAAATGAGCTTATTAGATTTTTGGCCAATTAGACAGGAAGAAAGAAAGGATCACTGGAGCTTAAATTCTTACGGAGATTTTTTTCTGTACTGTAAACTCTTTCTGGTCTGTTAAGGACAACAACTGATAGACTTTGGGGCAGGGTGCGGGGATTATTCCAATCACTTGTCACCAATCAAGATCTGTATCCAGCAATTCACATAAACATGCTTAACTTTGAACGAGAGAATTGCTGGTGGGAGTTTCCTTATATACTTATGAAACCCTGTCAGAGCTTTGAGAAACAGAAGAGGGGTTGTACAGTTAGGGCTGGGCTGGTCTTGTCTCCGCTGTTTGACTGCATCCATTTCTCCTTATAATGTTGATATTTACCATTTCCTTTGACCCCAGAAACTGATTTAAAAGCAATGTCTTTGTGCACTTAAATAAAGTTTCCTTTTTTGGAGTGGTAATGCTAAAAACAGAACGTCCTGCTCTAATGTGGGTGATGTTCATGAGCTTTGGCAGCATGTAGGTGTCACTACAGAAAGGGTTTTGGACTAGATGACCCTTAGGGGTCCTTTCCAATCCAAATCATTCTATGACTCTAAGATTCTCCTGTAGTACTGATTCCTAAACGATCTATGATGTAGGAAAATGGTATTTATTATATCTTTGGTAGGTAGTTTTCTATTTTTCTGTGTCTTTTGTGTCCAGACAGCATATTTGATAGTTAGTATGGAACTTGGAAATAGTGTCTGTTGCTCAGAAGCTTCTGCCAAACAGAAGGAGCAGATTGCTACTGCAAATGAACTATTTTCCGGTGTATTTCTTCATCTGTACTCATTTTATTTTACTCTTTGTGACTTCTAGTTTGCAGCTAACATTTCATTTGGAACCTCCAAGTACTGCTCTTAGAACAAGTTCCACTTATTCCTGGAAAATGCAAAATAGAGCAGTCCTCTGCTTCCTCTCTGTCCCAAAGCATACAAGGCAATATGAAAAGCACGTTTGATTTTTAGTGCTAAGTGTGATAAATTACTGGAGCCTTACTGTACTCACTGTAGCTGAAATCAATTAACAAAAACTAGTTGGGTTGGGAGAATTGGAAACTACTTAAGAATTTATGGATTTTTTTGGTAGTTATACTGGCATGAAAAAGTTGTGAACAATGTGAATAAAGTGCATAAGGAATATATAAAGCACACCACCCATCTCCACTGGTGCTTTACAGGGGATGTAGTGAGTGCCTGCAACCTTCACACACCATTCACATTTATCAGTTGCGCAGCTTTATTTCTAAACAGCAACAGACGTTCATGGGAATTTCATGCCTCTCAGAATGTTTATTTGGCTGGCTGTCACCATGACTTCCAAGCTATTTCCACATAAAATTAGCAGCAGAGGCTAAGTTGAAACACAACTTCAGTGTTTCTCAGTCTCCTTTATTTTTGGACTCCTTTTGATTAGATGTTAATTTTTCTTACATTTGTTTCATTTTGGAAAGTGACAGCTATAGGTAGACAAATGTTAAAGTCAAAAAACGTAACATGGAAAACTTTTCCCAGACTTAAAATAGGCAGGAAGATAAAACACATGGGATGGTTAGAGGAGCCTACAAAACTTAGTCCAAATTATTATATTTTTCTGAAGCAGAATATGCTGCTTATTCTCTCAGACTGTTATGGTTTTGTTGGTTCATCAGAGATATAACTGGCTATTCTACAGAGTAGTTTCAAAGCATTTTTTAAAAAATTTAATATTACTATGTTTTAGACTATGATCAGTAAAAGATAGTCCCAGCTGATTTATAACCTTGTTTTGTTTTGTTTCTCACACAGGTGTGCTTTATCAAGTTGTTCAGAGCTTCCCTGGCGTGGAGAAAAACGTGCAAGTGGATGCATATGTAAATAGCCACAGGTGGAGAAGGCACTCAGAGTCTCTTAAATCAGTCAGCACTAACAGAGCCAGTATGGGGCAGGATTCTTCTGAGCCAGGTGGTTTTACAGATCTGCTGCTAGAAGAGGGACATGAGAATGCCACTCAGATCGAGGTACAAATTCATTTCACTTTTTATTTAATTTGTTATTTTTGAAAGGGGGGGAGGGGAGGAAATAAATCGAAAAAGGTGAGTTCTTCAATACATTCATGCCTTAGCAGTTGAATATAGCCTTGTGATTGTGTGTCTGTCCCTGCAAGCATGTGGAAATCTGTTTTTCCTCCTGCCTTGAGATTGGAGAACATCTCTTCTGGTTTCTGTGGAGAGTCTCTTGAAGATGTCTGTCTTGGTGGAAACTAGTTATGGAAAGTACTCTGTTGTAGCAGTGCTTTCTACTTAACTGGAAAAGGAAACAGTATATATAAAATAAAATAGAAATTTTAAAAGTTCCTCCATCTTGCATAGATATCATGTAAATCTCCTTGAAAGTCAGTTGGGTCTTTAAAGGTACTCTCAGTTTAGAGAACTGTAGGTACAGTGAAAGTTGTCCATGAATAACTTCAGATCCACTGTTGTTTTCAATTGGTGCTAAACATATCTAGCTACAATGATTTGTGTAAATTTTATTTATCTTACAGATAAAGCTGTAAATAAGTATTGTATTAGTATGGAAGCTGTAAATAAGTATTGTATTAGTATGGATTTTTTTAAAGTACTAGATTTGGTTGTTCTCTAATTAATAAAATCTCTATTGTGTTCATCAATAAAATACAGCTTGTAATAGACAATACTTAAAATTTTCTATCTTTGCTTGCGAAGCTTCAGTGCTTTTTTTTTTTTTTTCTACTGTTGAGGAGCTCATTCTCAAACAAACAACAGTTTTTAGGTTTAAGATTATAAACTTATACAATAAGAAACGCAATATAAAACTTGTCTGTAGAGATAATGATGAGTCAAAATAATAACTCATTTTTCAATGTTTTGTGCTTTTTCTTTTTTTTTTTTTTTTTATTTGATTTAAAATGATTTGTTTATTTTGCCTCATTCCCCACCATCTAGCCATACTTGTAGCAGCTCACTCCAGCACAAAAGATTTCAATCCAGTTTCTAATTATTTTAGCACATAAAGTATGGTGTCTTGGATACAGGAAAGTTTGTGTAGCTGATCTTTCCATGGCTCAGAGGTAGACCTGTGTGCATTGTCACTTGTGTATCCAGTCTGTTGACTTCCATGCTCCTACAGCATGAAATGAGTCAGAGTTGTCTCCCTGATACTTGCATTTGGCAACGTTTGGGGGAAAAATGAATGCTTGAAAATGGATGTATATTGAACGATGTTTTCTGTAGCTACGTTTCCTGCCTGATTAATGGCACTGCAGAGTCTTATCCTCAAAAGTACACTATCCCTACTGAGTTTATTAAATTCAGATTCTGTGCTCCCCTATGTCCCTTTCTTATTCTAGTCTTCCTAGCATGGTAAAATAACTGAATTATGTTCTTGCACATTATCGGATCTTTTTGTAAAATCCCCACTAAAACACACAGGCTCTTTTTTTTTTTTTAAAAAAAAAAAAAAAAAAAAAAAAAAGTGAAAATTGGTGCCTACCTTTACAGAAGAGGTAAAGTGTATGACCAGAATTCACGGTAGAAGTGTTGCAGTGTTCTGCAGCTTAGGAACTGGAAATGCATGCTGGAAATCATATTCATTATTATTATTTTTTTTTAAACTCCTCTTCTGCATGTGTTGCATGTCTTGTGGGAGAAAATCCATAGAATGAGTACTGCTTGCCACTCGTATTTAATTACACTGCAGTACTATTACATTTCTTTATCACATGTAGTGTTTATCTCTGAATTATTGTATGGACTTTCCCTGCATGTATGAAAGAATTTTCCACTGGAATCCTGATCAGTGATGAACATATCTTTTAATTTTTATTTGTTTTTGTTATATTCTTCCTTCTACTGATGAGTTTACTTCCTACCCAGATTTTGCTTTTTTTTTTTTTTTTTTTTAATGGCAATTAATTCTGCGCTCTACTTAAAAATAACTCAGAATGTTTCCTGTGTGATCAAATCCATACAGCCACCACTTGGCAAATGATAGAATCCATCTATGTGCATGATAGCTCATGTCCATTAGATTTTCTTGATTTAGGGCAGTGAGATTTATTTTACTTTTGTTTTCCTTTAGAATGGCACCACTCCAAATCTCCCTAATCCATAAATTATATTAAGATCAATGGAATATGAACTTCAGACCTCCAAGAGCAGCCTCAAGAAAGTGCATTTTTAATCAGTTTAATCATGTCTTTGCAGGGTGGACTTGCCCCCATCCTGAAGGATAATAGTGGTCAAATTGTCTTATGCTGTTACTCTGGTCTGAAAGCCCGAACAGTGCAACCACTAGGGATGCCAGAAACATTCACTGTCACCCTTCTCAGCTTTGTTTGTCCTCTTTCATTTGTTTGACAGTGTTATTCAGGAACTCATACAAACTAATGCATCAGATGTTTTCTTGAATAAGATGTTCTCTTGAACCAGACTCTCTGGAAGTTGAAACATATTGCAGAGATAAGCTGAAGCATTGGATATAGTCATATTATATGCAGAACCATTGGAAATGGACATGGCCCTCAGAAGGAGGTGATGGAACCTTCTCAGAGATCTGTCCTGTTGTTGGAGGGATAGGAATTGCATGGGCCCGAGGTGGAGAGTGGTGGCAACCCAAACCAAAACTGGTAGTGCTAAGAAAAAGGCAAGGGGTGGGAGGAACACCTTTCTGCTGTGGAGTAGATCTTCTGTGTGTATGGCATGTGTGGTATTTTCTGAAGAGTTGACAGTGAGCTGGAGATAACAAGGTAAGATTAATTTATAGCAAATGGATATCATAAACACATTAGCAAATGGTATGAGATTATGAAAGCACTTCTTCCTCTTAGTTTAATAGGATTTTTAATAATGTTCCAGTTAGAGATGAGAATGTTTTAAATCTAAAAGAATTTCCCAAGGATAGAGGTTGGTCCCATCTGCTTTCTGGGGCCAAGGTCAGTACATATTTTAATGTTTGCATTTTTTCTACATAATATAAGAAGAATGAGTGAGTGAGACCTTAATAAGTGTGGAAAAGGGTGAGATACAGTCTTGTACAAACGGACACAAATGCTACAGCCCTATAGAGATCCCTGAAGTAGATGGCATTTAAATGCGTGGGGAATACATTGTCAGCAGTCCAAATTTACAGAAGAGTGAACCCTGAAAATGCAGTACTTTGGTGATGCAGTGCAACCAGATCGGCTTCTTGGCCCTGTGGCAAATGAAAACTTCAGAGTGTGTCTCTTCAAAAGTGGAAGCTTCTCTGGATAAGTCTTGTATAGGAGAAATACGAATTGATTACTGCTGTTTTGTTTTTTTTGTTTTCCCCCTTCCAATCTATTTTGGGACTCTGCTTTCCAATCTTAGGAATCAGGGTTGGTTAGGTTTGTTTTTGTTTTTGCTTGTTTGCTGAATAAATTACCTCTCTTTTAGTGTGCTCAGAAAATTCAGAAGTGCCTTTTACTTATGGTAAACGAGCCCAGGAAATGCAATGGGTAGGGTAGGATTTGTTGTTGCAATCACTGTATGTCCTTGGAAAAGTAATGAGCTGAAAATAGGTCTCAATAAATATGTCTAGTTTGACATATCTTCTTTCAAACAAGGAGAAAACTAGGACAAATATTCTTTTTTTTTCACCTGTTCTCATAAAAGCATGGTTATTAAGTAATTGACTCTTTATTTTAACAATGTTAATGCTTCTAGCTAGATTCATGGTCACGTTTTGACTTTTGTATTAATATCCAAAGCACTGAAGTCATCCAAAGGTAATGAAAGCAGGTAGCAGAAGTTCTTGTTCCTCTCTTACTAGAAAGGGAGCTGATCTCTGAAATGCATCCAGTGTGGATGTCAGATTCCTAAAACCTGAGCAAATGATTTTTTTTTTATTTTTTTTTTTGTCACAGTGCTCTCTAATGTAGGAATGACCATAGGGCGCTGAACAGAGGGGCTTAATAGTGCTTTAATATATAATTATGCATCACAAAAAATATAGCATATTTTTCAAAGTCTAAAATACTTATCATTTTCTAAGTGGTGATGAGACATTATGTAAGAGCTCTGTACAGAGATTATTCTCCAGCATTTATAATTTTTTTTATCTTGTTTCCCAGGTATTCCCATCAAAGCAGCTCCAAGCACAGACTTTATAAATAATTTCTAGAAAAACTGCTTGGTCCCATTCCTGACCATAATACTTGTGATGATAGAAATTATTGCTGTTTCGCAAAATGAGCATAGTTTTTTGGTAGGAAAGATATTCCTACGGATATGACTGATATCTCTTCTTTTGTGTACTGCTTTTAACTAAAATAGAGTTGATGCTAACTGAGGGCTCTCTTCTTCTTCTCCTTTCTTTAGTTTCTCTAGATGTTGTTTGGAATGTATGTTTTTAGCAATCCTTGTAATTTAGACCTGGAAAGCGTCTTGTCTGTCAGAACTCTAGTGGATTTCTTTCTGGCAGCACACTTCTGCTGAACTTTGCATTTTCTCCAGGAGTTACTGTCCAAAAAGAGGCTTTTCCCTTATCAGTCCCAGTCCCTTGACAGCAGTGAAGATGTCTGGTTCTGACTGGCAAAAACAGCAGAAGGGATTGAGTTTGACAACGCTTGGGATTTGAGAGCAATTGTTCTCATCTACTGGCAGTGGTGTTAGCGTACTCACTGCTCTATTCTTACTGCAAGTCTGAGCAAGGAAAAAAATAATGGTTAGGATTAAATTCCACTCAGCTGAACAAATGATAAGGTGTTCCTGGAATTACTGCTCCAATGCACTGCATTAAAAGTAGAAAAACTTGTTTGTGCGCAACTGTGTGTAGCTTAAAACTAAGCAGTATTGTGATTGCACAGTGAGCTGCTAGTTTGGCCAAGCCCACCTCTATCTTGCTTCTATATGTTTGTGTGTGTGTATATATATATATATATATATATATGTATGTATATATATATATATATGTAATTGTATATATACACATATATGTGTATATATAATATATGTATTTATTTTTTTCCCCATCACAATAT